GTTATTATATCAAATGGCAAGAGAAACAAGCCAATTAAAATTTATAATTAGGTCAAAAAAGCAATCTTAGAGTAGATTAAATTTTGAATAAAACTATCTATTTAAAGGGCAGTCAAACACAAGTTGCTCTTTTTTAGATGCAGAAAAAAATGACATATACAGTCGATTCCGCTTAATTGGGACTAATCTCAAAGAACAGATACCAAACTAAGAAGCCAATAGAAAATTTATATGTTTAATTGGGACTAATCTCAAAGAACAGATACCAAACTAAGAAGCCAATAGAAAATTTATATGTTTAATTGGGACAGTAAATTTAAGATCACAGTACATATTACGAGTTTGTTACGGAGCGTTGTCTTACAGTTTATTGCGCATGCGCTGCCTTACAGCTGATTGTGTATGCGCTGCATCACAGGCGAGCGCAAGGGCATTCTTATTCAGTTACCATTGCACCTCGTGACGACTGTTTCGATTGTTGCATATTTATTCACTCACAATACACATCGCGCGTGAACAGTGCATAAACTTATTCAAAAATTTAACCCTTGCCCAAATGCCAAGAAATGATTTGACACTTTCTAACAAAATTGCCTTGCTAGATAAAATAAAAAGCCAGTTACCTAATACAAGTTATCGGCGGCTCGCTGAGATAACTGGAGTAACAAAATCTATCATATTGCGTGTCTTACGGACAAGAAAGTCAACTGTGTGAGGAATTGGTTTTACAAGAAGGACAAGCAGGAACATCCAAAAGGAAACACGAGGGGAAGGATCCAGACGTCGAAGAAGCACTAGATCAATGGTTTTCTATTGTTAGTGGCAGAGGTGTAAATATCAACGGCCCGATATTGAAGGCGAAGTCAAAGGAGTTAGCTAAAAAACTGGGCCGCAATGATTTCAAAGCAACTTACGGGTGGTTATCGCGGTGGAAAACAAGTCACAACATTAAATTTTAAAAAGTGCGCGGTGAAAAGGGCAGTGCTGACAAGGAAAGTTCCGAACAGTGGAAAACTACGAAAATTCTTACTTTTTTAGAGAATTTTTGTGTTGATGACATTTACAATGCTGATGAAACCGGCCTCTATTATCGTGCTACGCCAGACGGTTCCTTATGCTATAAAAACATTGCACTGACTGGTTATAAAAAGGCGATGGACCGCATTACTGTGTTATGCTGTACAAATATGTTAGGTACTGACAAACAAAAGCTACTGATCATAGGAAAAAGTGCTAGACCTCGAAGCCTTAAGGGGTTGAGCAAGGAGGGTTTACCAGTGGAGTACCATGCAAACAAAAATGCGTGGATGACTCCTGAAATTTTTTGAAATTGGCTTACCAGTTGGGACCGAAATTCACAACATAAAAAAAGAAAAATTTTGCTGATTGTTGATAATTGTGTGGCACACCCTCATTTAGACAATCTACAAAATATACAGCTGGAATTTCTTCCTCCTAATACCACATCTTTAATGCAACCAATGAACATGGGGTAATAAAAAATTTTAAGACTTTGTATCGTGGGGAAATTGGTTAATTACATATTAGAATACATTGATGAAAATTTATTAACAACTTCCACAACAGCCAGAGAGATAAGTTCAAAAATTAATGAAAACTGTGAGGATTCAATCGTAGAAGGTATTAAATCAAAACATGGAAAATTAGACGAAGATGACGATGATGATGATGAGTCACATGTGCCTGTGACTAACCAGAAAGCAAATAAATGTATTGCCACGTTACAGTGTTATTTTACGCAGGAAGAAAAATGAAGGGAGCCCTGCATCTACACTGAATATCTGCGCTGATTTTGTAGAAAAGAAATGCTACAAAAACAAAAAACAGACTACACTTGACTAATTTTTGTAATTTTAATTTAGAATTTTAGATTCATATTAATTTTAGATAAATATTAATACACAATTTTCCCATTTGTAATTTACATTTATTAAAATTATTGAAAAAATATGTATTGTTTAATTTATTACCGGTTATTGGCTTTAGTTTCCAAAACCAAATAAATTTATTTAAAAAACTGTGAAATTCGCTTAATTGGGACAAAATGCCCGGTCCCGATGTGTCCCAATTAAGTGCAATTGACTGTACATTCAAAACTACACCAAACTAAGTTTTTTTCTTTTTACCTAACTTTAAAAATCTGTTATTATAGCTATCTTAGAAAGAGTAATAGAATTCTCTCATTTAGTACGCAGATGAAGAAAAGAAAATGAATGCTATAGCTTTTTTAAACCTGAATAATAAATGCATGGGGATAAAACCTACAACTCTGAAGAAAACGTAGTGTATTTTAGCTATTAATTTTTAATTAATAAATAAGTATTATTTATTTATAAGTATTATTTATTAATTAAAACATTATTATTAAACATTATAAATGCTTACAGTAATGACATCTTCTCTTCTAAATTAAAGCAATTTTTTCACGCACAGTTTTTTAGGACTGTTTTTTTCCAAATTTAAAATGTTAATTCTTTGCGAATAGTGTATTTGCAATCAGGGTCAACATGACTATGTCATCATTTGTCATTTCCTGTCCTGGAATTTGCTAGCCTATTACGTAACCGCTACTATAAATAATGAATACGCACCAATTTGCATCAGAAGCTTTCCTCTCTCTGTTGCTTTAGGGTCTATGCTACTGCGCTTGCTCTCTTTGTTAGAATAAGTTATGACGCATTAAAGTTTAAATACCCTTATTTAGTAACGAATAAATGATCTACAGTGATAATTGAATAAAAGCTATGGAATAAAGTTGTACCATTAAAAAATTAATCAACTCGCCTCTTCATTTGGATTAGCCTTACCATTCTGCAAAAACTACGCCTGAACTTTGATGCCAAAATATCACAGTTATTTATTTAGTTGAGAGGATTTTTTGTGTGGGAAAAAGCTCTTGTGGATTATTTAATGCGTGTTTAACTTTTCATCGTCTACAGTGGGTCAAGGTCAGTTACAGTGCGTGGCATCTTCCCTGTGCTTTTCCTCGGATCCGAAATTATGCGTTTTTTAAGTGTTCTGTGAAGTGTGCCTTTGATTAGTGAAATTTCTTCAACAAAGTGCTTTGTGATTAATTTTCGTGTAATGTGAAAAATTTTTTAGTGTTGATTTTATATTCAAAATTGATATGAATACAAGATCTAAAAGCAAAATGGCGCATATTTGTTATTTATAGTAGCGGTTAGTAATAGGCTAGCAAATTCTAGAAGGTACTGGTCTAGGGGGAAGATCCTGAATTGCAGAAAGTTAATTAAAGGTTGCGTGTTCGCGAAAAGCAAAGCTATCGTATTTTTTAAATATTTTACATATATATATGAGGGCAGTCCTATTAGTATCTGACCTTTTTTCCAGGAAGAATATATTACTTATGCGATGGGATTGAGACCCTAATCTCCTATAAAGTAGGCTCTTTGTGCCTCCACACACTATAAGCCCACCGATTCTTCCACTGGTGTAAACACTTCTGAAAGGTTTCTTTTGGAATGGTGTTTATTTCTGCTGTCACGCTCTGCATTATCTCTTCCCTATTCTGAAAATGGGAACCTTTCAACGTATCATATTCAATTTTGGAAACAACTTGAAATTGCATGGAGCCATGTCTCAAGAGTAGAGAGATTTGTGTGATGAATGGGCTCGAGCATTATATAATACAATTGGCAGTTTTTTGCAATCCACAGATCTGGTCGTTGACAAAGTCGGAAGAAAACTTATTGACAACACCCTTTGTCATTAATTGTTTTTCAGCAGCACAAGTCCATGGATATCAAACAATACAGCACCACCCTGATTTTGCTTCATACCTCTTGCACTTTTTTCGACCTTGGGGACTCGGGATGCTTCAAGTGTGACGACTGTGTCTGGATCATACCCATACACTCATGACTCATTTCCAGTTATCATAGTGTTCAGAAACTGAGGATCAGTGCCAGTAGTGTCCAGCAGGTTTTGAAAAACTTCAACAGAGTTCTTTCCACTGACAAAAAATAGCAGTTTGGGCACAAATTTCGCAGCCTCTTTTTCCATGTTCAAAACAGCATGCGCAGAACCTTTACCAATCCAATCCTCTTCAACAATTTTTCGTATGGTCAAACAACGATCTTCCTTTACCAGATTTTTTTACCTTCTCAACAGCAGCTGCATTCTGAGTGGTTTGTGAACTCCCAGAATGCTGACCACCCTCAACTCATGTATGGCTATTTTTGAATCAGCTGAACAGCTTCTTAATTTGATACTCTTCTGTTATCAAAACTAGATTAAAAAATTTATGTATGCATGGATGTATGTACTTATATCTGTATATACATATACACATATACATTTCTTAATCTGGCCCCGATAACAAAAGAGTACCCTTAATTTATATTACCTCCACAGCATCATTTCCAAACATCTGCTGAATCTTATGAATCATTTCGCTTTGAGAAACACCAAGTTTCTGATAAAAATTTAAGCAGTATTTTTGCTCAACTTGTTCAGTCATCAAGAGAAATAAAAAATCTGGCAAACATACATAACAGCATCTCTCTCAGAGGCAAGCAAGCTATGGTTCGCACACCTGTACATGGAGAAAAATTTCAAGCACACACATTAAGTTGTCTCTTTGGATCAACTTACACTGTGCACAGTGGCATCAGCCTAGCACTGCCACTTTTGGTAGGAAGATTTAAGGTCAGATAGTTTTTTAGACAGACCTTGTATGTATTATTAAAAATGCTAATGGAGAACGTAATGATGAATATAACAAAGATATTACAACAGCCATAACTGATTCAGCAATTTTTATTCTTTTATTCTTTACGGCTAAAATGGCATAATCTGCTTCATATAAATCAAGCTGATGTGCATTTTAACATCTTGATAAAAATGTACTTCAGGTAATAAAGAAAAGCAGCAACAGTAAGCCAGCAGGACAAAGAAATTTAGAAGAAATGTGCAGATTTAACTACGAAAGTTAGGTTAAGTTAAAGAGTTAAACTCACTCATTTCCACAATGAACAGCTTTTAATACTCCAACAGCAGCAGTTGTCAAGCGATCAAAACCTTGACCAACATGGTCTGCGTGACATTTTGTTCTATCTTCAAACATCATTTCACGAGGTTCAGTAGATCTCGGTAAATACTGTAGCTTACGTAGTTCATTCATTGCACTCCTATATAGTAAAAATATTGAAAATTTAAAACTAAGAGTTAATTAAAACAATTTAAAAAATTCACTGACAATGGAAATAGTTTTCTGGAAAAAGATATATTGCATATTCAGTGATAATTATTTTAAAACAAACTTTTCTCCCATTTATTTTAAACCTCCACCTCTCCTTTTGATCAACTGATAAATTTTGCAGCATTTTGCATTAGCTTTATTTGAGAAAAATATAATTTTTAAAAACATTGACATATTTGTATAAAATTGAAAAAAAATCAAAAATTTTTTAAAAGTAATATATAAATAGCAAGCAATTAAAAAAATACAGAATACCTTGTGACATTTTACAAAGACCCATAAAAATATAAACATTATTTATGTGGATAAAAGATAAAGCCCCCTTATTATTTAAATTAAAACAAGAGACTTTCTGGCTATATGCAACCTAATGAAAAGCTGTAAATTCATTTGGAACTTTGTGAATTGGCATAAAATTTTTGTTTGGCTACATTTACAGCTCAAAGGTACTATTTTGCTACAAAATAATAAGAAGTAGTATTTTATAAGAAGCAATAAATTTTTTATGAGGAAAAAAAAAATCTATGTAGTTAATTTTACAATTTTAGTCTGTGGTTTTTTCCTGCTATGGCCTTCACAGTATTAATACATACAAATTCATTTAAAATGTTAATTTCAGATAAAAATTGCATAAATTAATATCATTTTCATTCATGAATTAACATATAATAAATATATTGATTTATTGCATTTAAATAGTTAAATAAAACATTTTTCTTTATTATTTCTATTATAAAATAGTTTAAATAAGTTTTTGATATCAACCATAAAAACATTACATTTTCATAAAAAAAAAAAAAAAAAAAAAAAAAAAGTTTGACTAAACTGAGAAAATGGAAACTTATTAGCTTATTTTCATAATACCTCATCCAAACTTTCCAAAAGATATCTAGAATTTACAATTACAGCAGCATGTAACAATTATTTCTTAAGTAAAAGAACAGACAGAAACAGGAGAGGATGAACATAATTATACTTATATCTTTTCTTAATACAGTGAAAGTTTTAACTTTTTAATATTTGAGGGAAAATGTTTCCAGTTTTATAGAAAATAAAAAGCAGTCAACATATTTCCCTATATTTTTAATCAACTGAACCTAAAAAGATTTTAGCTTTTAGCTCAAGGTGCATTCATATTGGTTCTTGAAGAACAGAAAAAACTCCAATCATGACTGCCTACACAACAAACACCCACAGGATTTAAAAAATAAATAAATAAATAAATAAATAAAGGGCTCTTGAATAAATGCTCATAGATAATACATACATACAAGGCAAAAAATTATTGACTCTGAAAAAACACCTGTGTGAAGAAAATGCTTTGTATTTGCAACACTATCAAATAATAAACACTTAACAAAGCATTGTGTTAATCAAACTGGCAGCATTCTTATGGCTACCAATATAAAATATATTAAACAATGTAAACTTTTTATGCTTTAAAGCATTCAATACACTGACTGCCAAACTTTTTATTTCAATGCCTGCTCTACAGGTACCATAAAAGTCCAGATAAATTTAGATAGTAATAATTATAATGTGCAAAACAAACTATATTTTAAATACCATTTGAAATTGAGATAGTTTTAAATCAAACTGTATTCTGAAAAGCATTTACAATTTAATCAAATAACAAAGCATTTTTATGTTGAAATAAAATTTATTTTTAATGTGAAATCTATTAGACCATTCATGCTCAGCTCATGATGATATTCAGAAACAGATTTTTGATCTGCATCGTCAGTGCAGGATATATGTGATTACAGAAAGGGGTAATTATGCATTTACAAAAGAAAGCAATGGCTATTCCCCCCTATTGTGGTTTAGAAATAAAAACAACATTATCATTTTGCAATAAAATACCCATTGCTTTTAAATTTTTATTTACATTCATTAAACAAATTAGGATGCTTTTTTTTATTTTGAAATTCACATGACCAAAGCTTAGATTAGTTCTACAGACGTTAACTGCGAGAGCAAAAATATAAAATTATCTTACACAATTAAAAGCTGCAATCATTTATAATTTTCTCATAAACACTCAAAAGCTACTTTTATTACAAGGTCCTTAAAAATAATTTTGAAACAGTTTATAATAAACATTGCCCCTCCCAAAAAAGTTCTTTTAAGTTCTAAACATAACCTTCATTTTTTCTTTGCTCTCTTATATCATCTTCTGTGATTTCAAGTGATTTGCTTCACAAAATAAAAAATTCAATAGCTTTCACATACAAACATGCGATAAAATAGCAGAAAAAAGGAATTATTAAGAGAATCACCAATTTTAGCATGACTTTCTCTAAACACAAACTAAAAGCAACAGATTGCATGCCACATTATTACTACCTTTTAAACGCATCATTTTTTCTTTTGTAAAGAAGAAGGTGCTAAAAGGAAACTTTGCATTTTGAATCTATAAAGAAGCTTTACAAACCATGGATATACATCAGTTTCTCCAAGTTCAAAATGTAAAAATTTTCAGCATTTATATCAAGTTGAAAATACTTTACATTCAATTTTAAAAAAGAAATAAACAGCAGTCTAGGGCTTTTTACAATATAATTAAAAATTATCTTTACTGAAAATATGCTCATGTACATACACACAACAGTATGCAGGGTTTGAGGTCCAGTGTAATCGTCACATAAAAAAATTAGTTAACAAATTATATTTAAAGTCTTGTGATATTTTCAGCTATTTTCCCATGGCCACATATCAGAAGATCTCAATGTGACCTATGCAATTGGTTACCAACTCATTACTTTATATCATGATGGTCCAAAAGAAGCAAATTAATAGAAACAGCCACTTGTGAAAAAACAATAACAGAAGAGAATTTTCTACAAGGTAGTTCCCACACATTTAATTGCACATTTACCACTTTGCATCAGCTGACGTCACCAACTATCCCAGTAGGTGGTAATGGATCACGTTCCAAGTTATACTTGGATTGGTCATGGGAATTTTCATGGAAATTTTTTCAGACTCATAAAACATCAGAGCTCTGTTGACAATTGGGATAACATTTCTTTACATATCACTACAGTGTTTAGAAATATAAAAAAAATTATTAGAGGTTACGTTGGAAAATTTCTATCTAAAAAATTTGGGTACTTTTCCGTTTCGCCGGCGTAAATCTCGCCAAGGAGACTATTGATGACAACACACTGTATACACATAAAAAATGATAATTCTCAGAATTTTTTATTTTGGAGACATAAATATTTTAATATCATTTAAAAGTTTTTCAAATGGGTCTTTTGTGTCCTTTTGCCACATAAATTAGGAGAGGTAACTTTCCAGATGGTGACATGCCATTCCTCTGTGTTTCTTATTCTGCTATTTGGCGCTACCCCATAATCTTTCTATTTTTTTGTGTATAAGTTCCAGTTTCTGAATCTCCAAAATTGTATTTATGGTTCACTTAAAACTGTTACAGAAATGTTTGAAACTTTCCTCTTCCAGTTTTCCAGTGCAATATGATTTCCATGAATCGGAACATATCGTAATTCCTTTTTTTTTTTTTTTATTTTTTTATTTTCCTTTATTGCCTCTAATATAATAGTCATGGATCAGTTTGGCAACTTCACAAGTAACCATTCGTCTGTTTCATTACAAACTCCACCAAAGATCCACTGTTGTGGTAAATTCCATCCCGCGTTGTTTTTGCGCTTTACTTTCATCCACTTCAATGATTATACCAGGCCCTCCTATTTTGCATTGTTGAAGAATTCGCACAAATCTCACGCATGTAGTTATTCCAATCCACATCTGTTCCGTGACTGATTTTCAACTGCTTTTTACACTATTTAACTGAAGTTAATTTTTCACTCCAACCATAAATAAATCTTACACACTTCAAGAAACTCAATCTCGATGATTCAAACCATGTGCCTTTTCGTATATACTTCTTTTACTGTGGCAAGTTGTTGCAGCGCCATTGAATTTCGTCTCCGAAATATTATTTCTTTCTATGATTATTATCACAAATAGCAATGTTAGGCAAAATGCCTTTCGCTTAAAAGAATCTGACAGATGCTTCCTCTGTCCTAGGCAAATCCCAAATTTTCATTGGTTTTTCCTCCCTTTCTGACATATTTGTAAAAAGACGTTAATTTAAGAATTTACTATGCTTTCATGGTACAACATCTTGATTCGCCAGTTCATATCACGCGATCCCAAATGATCTCCTCTCACGTAAACTACGCTACAAAAATCTGATTCTCTCAGTAATTATCTACATTAATTTCAAGTTAAATCTTAGTATGGAATTCGAGTTTAAATGCAAGAATTATTTCAATATTGTAATTAAAAAAATTCTATGTAACTGTATGCCAATATTGAAAGAAACTATCAATCTGATAAGAAATAGCAGCGACTTGTTTTGAAAATGTGGCGTGAAAGGTTATCAATGAGAATATTTGGTTTGGCATCGGTTGTACCATTTTCGGTGACTTTATTGCTTGAGCCGGTGAAATTGCGGCCAAACGGAAAAGTACCAAAATTTGATATGATTCTCTAAACCTAAGATTTTCTGAAACATTGAGGTTTCATGGTATCATTATACCACATGATGAACTCATTACACATCTCTCAGATCAGAAAATCAAATAGAATACTTATAAATACCTTGCATGCACAAATCAAACATACAGGGGTTGGACAAAAATATGGAAAACACCTTTAAAAAGACATGTTTCTTTGCTTAATATGGTGTAGGAAACCCGTTGGCATCCAAAACAGCTTGCAGTCTTCTCGGAATGGATAAATACAGTTCATGTATGTTTGCCAAGGAAATATTATACCATTCTTCCTGCAAAACGGTGGCAAGTTCAGATAACGATGTTGGCGGTGGATAACGAGAACGCACTTTCCGTTCCAAAAAGGTTCGATAATATTCAGGTCTGGTGACTGTGGTGGCCAGGGCAGATGGGACAACTCATCCTCGTGCTCAGAAAACCAGTCCTGGACAATGTGAGCTGTGTGAACAGGGGCTTTGTCGTCTTGGAAGACACCATTACCATCGGGCAACAAAGTTTGTACCATGGGATGAACTTGATCGGCCAAAATGTTCACATAAGTCTTGGCAGTCATGGCCCTGACACAGTTATCATGGGGCTAGCAGAGAATCACAATATGGCTGCCCAAACCATAACAGAACCCCCGCCATGTTTCAATCTTGGCAACAAGCAGTCTGTATTATAGGCTTGAGATGGCGTTCTCCAGACGTAAACTCGGCCAGAAGTGGGAAACAATGTGAAAGAAGACTCGTCAGACCATATTACTCGCTTCCACTGCTCTATAGTCCAGGCTTTATGACTTAAACACCACCTTTTCCTGTTATAGGCATTAGCATCACTGATGAGCGGCTTCTCAATTGCAGCACGGCCAGCAATTCCCTGTTTATGAAGCTCCCTTCTAATTGTTTTGGTACTCACAGGGTTCGGTAACACAACATTCATTTCAGCAGTAACTTTTGCAGCTGTGGTCCTCTTATTTTTCGTCACAATTGCCCTTAATGATCATCTGTCACGATCACTCAGGACACACTTTCGTCCGCGCTGTGATTTAGCAGATGATGTTTTTCCGCTTTTCAAATATGCGGAATAAATCTTTGATACAGTACCTCTTGAAACACTAAACACCTCGGCTACCTTGCTTATGGAAGCACCTACCATACGTGCTCCAACAATTTGCCAACGTTCGAAGTCTGTTAACTCTAACATAATGCAATGACAACCTCACATAACAGTACTCGGAAGACAACTGAACTGTTTAGCACATTTACGAAGTTGTATAGGTGGTGTCAGTAGTCAAAAATGCCAGCGCTACCTACATATTTCATTAAAATCAATCTTTCTTTTCAAACATGCATTTCACAATGTGTTTCCATATTTTTGTCCATCCACTGTAGTTTTAGCTTTCAAATTCTTAAATTTGCATCAATTTAGAATTATTTTGAAAATTAGTTTTTACTTTATACACAATTATGAGACATTCTTAATTAACTCATTATCATGTATGTTATATTCCCCAAAATATAAAACTGTTGAAGAATTAAAGAATAATTACCTTTTCCGTTTGCAAGGAGACTTTGATAAATCGGCTGTAGGAACTAATTGCTCACCAGGTCTAACCCATAAAATAGGTCCATCATTACTTTCTTGAGGATTCATATGAACTACAGATAATGGTCCCCATGGCATAGTTAAATGCAAAAATGGATTTTCTTCTAACACTTGTAAAAATTCTGGAAAGTATCCACCAACTTCTTCATGAACAGTTCCTACAAGGCTTATCTGATGTAAAGGTCCTGTTCTGAATGTACCATGACTATAATGAGCATGTACCTAAAATTAAAAATTAAAATGTATATTTATACCCCAACAAAAATTATAAAAACATTTAAAATAAGATAAAGAAAATAAAAAACTTTTGTATCTTCATGAATAAAGTATCAAGTGATAAACTTAATCAATGAAGTAATAAAAATAAATCTAAAAAACAGTTTCTCCAAACCAAAAAAAGTGTAAAAACAGACAAATTTTCATTAGTAAAGATGGATAATATCTTTGTCAAGAAGGCAGTACTCATCTTGCTTCCAGTCATTTTCTCAAAGCTACTGCTCGATAAATTTAACATAAATGGAAATAATCAAATTAAATTAGTACTAGACCATAAGTAAAACAATTTTAAAACTAAATTCGTTCAAAACCCAGCTGTATTCCTAAAGCAATTACAATTAAAAAAAAAAATAATAATAAATAAAGAAAAATGTGAAGATATAGTTTTGATAAATTAAAAAAAAAAGCCTCTTTAACCCCTTCGCGCTGACTGTCACGTATACGTGCCAGCAACGAACACACATATCTACCGGCCGACACGCAGGCGTGCCAGAGCATTGTTGCGTTTTCTACCGAATGTCACGTATTTGTGCCAGTACCTTGGAACGTTTTTCAAACTATAATTTCTGCCACAAGATGGCACTGTATGCCCATATGGTTTCAGATACATGTACATTAGACATTCTACTCGAAATGAGAGAAGCATGACTCACATACACGTGTTTTTGATTATATAAACAAACGGGGAACTAAATGTTTCCGAATGGCGTGATTTATGACGTCTCTTTAAATCGCACTTTATTCGCACGTGGTGGTTGTTTATTGTAAGTAGAAGTTTTCTATGCGCTAAAGCGTTGAGCATTTCCATTTACAGTTCAGTTTTTAGAAAATAATTACATCTTGTTAGACGTGAATTCTTTCTGTTTTTACCGTTTCAATGTTGAAGCGTCGAAAATGTTTAACAGAGCATGAAATAGCAGTAATGATGCAAAATATTTCAGATATTGATTCTGAAATTCTGATATTGATTCTGAAAGATTAACTGAAAGACATTTTCCAAAACTTTGTTCAGAAGAGACTGATAAGAAAATGAGATGACGGTGCTTCGTTTGTTCACATTCCCGGAAAAATCCTCCAAAACGGCAAAATGAGTTATTACGAGTTCAAGGAATGTAACGTAGGACTGTGTGTAGATCCCTGTTTTAAAATTTTTCATACGAAAAGAGAATTTTAAGTAATATATTTATTTTTCAGATGTATAATGTTAAAATTCATAAAATGGTGAGTAATTAAAAAAAATGTGTGTAAAATATGCATTTAAACAAGAAATAAGGTAATTAAAGTATATATATAAAAATATCTATAAAGCACAAGCCGTTTAAACTCTATAGAGCATTATTAAACAATGGGTTGATACTTCAGAAATTTCATGGATTTAGGCTTAGTAGCAAAAAAGCCCAAGGCCCTGGAGAGATGCTCACGGAAGACACTGCTGGCCTTCGCGATAAGCGCGCGTTTTCGCTACCCGGCTTGAAGGGGTTAATAAATGAATTTTGGTAACAGAAATCAAATAACGTTTAAATCCCCCTCCCAAAGCCTAATTAAAAAACTGTAAATAAAAAAACAAGTTCAATTAAACCTAATTGTTCACACTTAAACAGCATTATAAATGTAAATTAAAGCAATTTAAACCAACGGAAGATAGTTAAATCCTGCTAAAACTAATTACAAAAGGCTAATGCCATAAATTTTTAAAGAAAAATATATACACTATACAGTACAAAGTCCGCAATCCGGACTCGTCGGGACTTCGGCGATTCCGGATTATAGATCATCAATTTAAATCTGGTAAGATGGCACGCAGAAATTATCCAATTAAAAATATGAAACCGTAATTTATGAAATAAAAAGCAATTATGATCTAAAGGGTATCAAATTTTACCCCCCCAAAAAGGGAGCTTAATATTTATTTGTTTACTTTATTAAACATTTCTTTCAATGCGCGCATGCATAAAGCATACATTATGCACATGCACATGTGTAATATATGTGTGCACATTCATAAAGCATACAAAAGAAACGTTTGTGGCTTTGAGGTCCGGATTATACATCATTCCGGATAATGGACGTCCGGATTATGGACTTTGTACTGTATACACTGCCGGTCATCCAAAATGCACATAAACAAAGACATGAGATATTAAAGCCAAATTTATTTCAGAGATTACACACTGTATCAGTGTCAAGTAATTTGAAATACAACCTTCTTTGAGGTGATGAAGATGAAAAAATCCATTAATGAGAGTTGCCTTCATGTCTGTCCATAACCACTGCTACACAACATGGCACTGAGTGCAAACGGCTTTGGATATGTTGCCGCAGAATGGCAGAATATGCTGCCTCTACTGTCTGTCTATGAGAAAAATAATTCCCGCTACAGTGTATGTCGGGTAGTGGTCGCTATAGCAACACGTCTAGTATATTTTAAATAGGGGCCAACCACAGGTTGCTTTATTGTTATTTTGTCTTTGGCGATTGTTGGTGAGGAGAAAAGAGTTTATCATTTGTCTTCAAGACATCCCTACGGAAAATGGGTCAAAGCTTGTTTCTATGGCAACAGATAGCTGCACACTAATAGGTGAGATCTTTTCTTAAGATAGACAGACTGTACACATAGCCAAAGTTCATCCATGAATGCAGCATGCAAGACTACACATTTTTCGATCGTTGATCAGACATGTTTAGTGGGTGGTGATAGAGCTGGAGAACAGGCGGGGCCAGGGTAACAATGCAGTATGGGAGGCTAAGAAGAAAGTTTGAATATTGCATGCAACATGTGGTTGTGCAAAGTTCTGTTGAAATGTGGACATGGTCTGAAAGTAATAAAACAGGTTACAAAACTTAAGACATAGCCCTAGCCAGTAAATGAACGGATAGTGCTTATTAGGGGGTTGCGGGACTGGAATCCAATACCACACTGTAACACCAGCTGTAGGACCAGTATGATGATGGACACAACAGTCAAGCAGCCTCTCTCCACGATAACCCCAAACTCTACTTCAACCATTGCGGTACTGCTGGCATAAGTGTGATTCGTATGAAAACACAATGTCATGCCATTTGGATGTCCATATCCGCTGTTCAGTGCAAAATTCAAATGCAAATGACTGTTGTTTTAAGTTTAAGGCACACGAAGCAATGCATGCCTAATGATCAGTCCATTGTACTGTAAATGACATTGAACTGTTCAGTCAGCCAATGATTGCATTGCAGACTGCATTTGTTGTGATATTGTTGTGAATGTGGCAGTGTGCTCCATCATTGCCAAGTGCACAATATGACCATCTGCCATAGTGCAGCAAGATGGTTGCAACTGCTTCAGTCCATTCTTGCCTGTGTGACTATTGCTTGGCTATGCCCAACATGATAGCCAGCAGTTTATAAAATGAACATATGTAATTTTTCAAAAATTAATGATTATACTATCTAAGAAAGTGTAACATGCTCGTCTAAAGGACTACTGCAACTAGTAAAAACATTCAGTAAAGAAAACAGAAATTAGCATTAAGCAAAATAAGATAAGTTCAAATTTTCAAAATTTTTAAAAATTAAGAATTAGAAAACAATTAAAAAATCTTTTTAATATTTTAATTTTATGATAAACTGAATTTTAAGCATTCAAAATTAAATGTTTGAGATGGAGTCATCGGGAGTATTTATCTAAAAAATTAACTGAAATAATTCCATAGGTCTTAAAATGTATTGCATAGTTTACTATTTGAGAGAACTAAATAAAAGGCATCTATAAAGGAATATTAAAAAATATGGAACTACTCTCATGTGCGCCCTCAGGTCGCCAAACACTTTTGTCGAGAAACTCCATGCCGCCATATTACTACCTAAATTCTACATTTCGAACTTTTAGCCTAAAATGCCTCTAAAAACATGATTTTCGCACGTTCTGAACTCACAATTTACGCTAAAAATCTGGGAGGGGGGAATTTTATAGCAAAAACGTTAAGTTTCTAACCAAAAATATTTGACAAGAATCCATGTATACAGCAATATGTTTTCACTTAAAAAAACATCTACGAACTGAACAATCCAGGCAACGAACGAATCTACGAACTACGCACACCTCGCTTTAATAAATTAACATAGCAACAATAAATTTCAGAGAATAGCATGTACAGAGCATCCTGTTTAAACTTAAAGAAAAAAAAAAAAAAAAAAAAAAAAAATCTACGAATTGCACAATCTAGGCATTGTGAACAAATCAACAAAATAAACTAAAATTACAAACAATTCAAAAAACAACAATAACAACAGAAATTCATAGTAAAAAAACAATGAATATAACATTCTACAAAATAAAAACAGTAAAATAAAATGCACTTACCATAATACATTCGTTAATAAAACTTTGCCAGTCACACAACATCTGTGAACAAAAGTGCCAGGATTTTGCTATATTACATTTCTTTCTGCGATTCAAAATTTCGAAAGAAATGATAAAAACTTCCTCCAAAGTTGACTTACTACACAAAAACCACGATTCAAATCTTAAACTCTGCCAACAGCCACATACTTTACCAGCATGCATTTGACTGCAAATCTGCACAAGAACTATCAGAAACGCCCTTCTTCGTCTTAGTTCTCATAGCAGCTCCGCATTTCAGACTCTGTTTTAAAAGTCCCACAGAAATTCCAAAAATACACTTCAATCCTCATAAACATACCAGCGAACAAAAGACTTGTTAACAACTCCAACATTGTACCTTTTAATACTAAATTTACTTTTCACAGAATCTAAAATACACGACTGAAATCTTGCCACCAAGTCTACCATTGCAACATAGGCCATTTCAAAACACGCATGACACAAACCAATGAGCAATTAAACCACTGAAGCAAAAGAGTTAAGTTTCAACATCAAAAGGGTTGCCATACAAACAACATTGTTCCCCAAACCACCGCAGAACATATATTGCCACATTTGGTGATCTTAGGACGAATATAAGAGTAGAGGCAAAAATATATATAAAAATTTTTTACATCCCATTCAAAAAAAAAAAAAAAAAAAAAAAAAAAAAAAAAAAACTATACCCCAATGCGAAATCAAGTTGGAAAAAGACTATACCGCAATGTGAAATCAGCTTTAAAAGAATTAAATTGTACAATTTAATTTAAGAGGGAAAAAGAAAAGAGTAAGCACATTTACTGCAATAAAGTTAAAAAATTAAAAACAAAAACTCCAGATTAACATAATAATTATGTCAAATTTTACAAAGAAATATACAACTGGCCAAAATTAATTGTCTGGGCTGTGACTGAAGGATAAAAATTGTAGTGTTACTTAGTAGAATAAAACAATGTGAATTTTTACTTTAAAGTACAAGCTCTTGAATCAAATTACAAAAAACAACTTAAAAGGTTAAAGTACATTAAATGTACAAAATGTCTGAAAATCAAAACACAAACTTAGGATTAAAAATTAATATATAAATGTACAAATAAAAGTACTTACTTCAAACATCTCTAAGCTGAAATTAAATGGTGGCCTCATCAGCCAAGAATATGAATGTTGGAAAAAATTTGGTGCTGCAAAACTAAGAAACTCCTAAATTTTCTTACTGTTAGGAAGGGATGATAGAATGGTACTTGGTAGTGATTGAAGGCTAAAATCAATGCACAGACGTGTAGAAGCTCAAACTGGCAATGTATACATAATACTTTTACAGTAAAAAAAGTAGCCAAGTAGAAGTTCAATACACTATCCGCTAAGCAACCCAGTTGAAAGATATCATCGAACGGTCAAACAAATTTTAAAGGTCTTATGTATTGAAGCAGCATCTAAGTGGGAGGAACAAGTTTCCACAGCTCTATTTGCTTTATGAACAATAATAGTTTAACACTAATAATAGTTTCCTAGCTTTAAGAACAATAATACAAGAGTACGGGATTTACTACTGCAGAATTAGTATATGTCAAAATCTTAGAACACCTGTAACATTATTATATGAACAATGGATAAATCCTGAAGACTAAGGAAATAATGTTGTTGAATATGTTTTTCAATTGATAAACTGGATAAAAAGATGCAAGAGCTTGTAACAGGTAACATGCTGGAAATACAAACCAAAAGAAAAGTGTGGTATGATCATAAAGTTATCAAAAGACAATTTTCTGAAGGGGATTTAGCATTAGTTGTATCAATGAATAATCCGAAAAGACTAGCAGCTGAATGGAAAGGTCCTGGGAAGACTGAGAAGAAATTATACGACACTAATTATGTTGTGAATTTCAAAGGGGAGGGAAAAATCAAGTCTACCATGTTAATATGTTGAAACCCTATCATAAGAAAGCAGAATCGGTTAACCTTATGATTACAGAAGATGAATCTGAAACTGAGGATACGGAGAAAAATTTCCCATCAATTGATTCTGAACCAACATTGTTCAATTTTGAGGAAATTGAAGAAAACAGTTCCTTGAATGATAAGCTAAATGAACAACAAATTCAAGAATTGCATGATCTGCTGTTGAAATTTTCAAAGATCTTTTCTAATAAGCCTGGAAAATGCATGATATTCAATTGACAGAAAACACACCGATTCACTGTAAACCATACATAATTTCTCCTAGACAAACAAATACAGTCAAAAGTCGTTAATTCGACACCCATAATCCGGACCTCAAAGATACAAACTTTCTGTGCATGCATCGTAAGACCTTTACGGCTGCGAATATGCGTGTGCGCATGCCCAAAATACGTTTACGCATGCGCGTTTAATGTATAACGGTCGGTATAAGCTAAGCTAAAATTATCTAATTCAGTTAATGTTGCAGATTGCGCTGTTCCTTAATCTTCGAATTGGATCCGGCTTATTATTTTTTGCAGACTGTTAGAGCAATTTCATAAAAGTAAGTTTGAACTTTTGATTATGTCAAATAGAATTTCCGATATATATTTATTAATATGTAAAGGTATATTTAAAAGTATATTTCGAAGTCCATCAAACAAAAAGTGGAATTGCTGCAAAAAATGGATAAAGGCTTATCATTTGTTTATCTAACTATTCCGAAATCTGTTTACCAATTTTACGCTGCTCTGCGGCGGGGGGACGCCGCGGTGCGCAATGAATTTCCGGATTAACGACTTTTGACTGTATATTAAAAACAGAAATTGTTAAAATGCTTCCACTATAAAATAATTGAAACAGGAGATTATACTCCTATGATTTTAGTGGAGGTAGCAGGAAGAGATCCTAGACCTTGTATATTGACAATAGAAAATTAAATAAGTTGACTAAAACACAATTCTTACCCTTGCCTAATATTGAACAACGAGTGAAAACTGTAGCAGGCGCAAAATATATAACTTTGGATCTAACAAATGGATACTGGCAAATACTGTTAACACCTAATGCCCAAAGATTAGCCACTTTTGTTACAAGTTTTGGCACAATTAGACCTCTACGGATGCCTTTCAAACTTAAAAATGCTCCATTTTCATTCAGCAAAATGATGGCAGAAATCTTTCACAGTTGTGAACACTTTGAAGGTCCATATTTAGATGACGTGGCAATCTTTTCAGACACGTGGAAAAAACATCTAAGTCATCTGAAAGCAGTTTTGACAAAAATAAAGGATGCTGGTTTAACCATTAAACCTATAAAATGTAAATTTCCTCAAGATAGAGTAACATATCTAGGACATATTGTAGTTCGTGGTATAAGAATGCCAAGTGAAGTCAAAGTAAAAACTATTCTTGATTTTCCCGTGCCATCCACAAAAAGTCAAGTCAGAGCATTTTTAGGATTAGTTGGATATTATAATCATTATGTTCCCATGTTTTCATCTATAGCAGCACTTTTAACCGAAACTTTGTAAGGAAACTTAAAAGAAAGGGAAAACAAATTGGACAGATGAGTGCACAAAAACACTTGAAGAGCTAAAGGAAAAACTGTCTCAAAGGCCTATACTACACGTACCTGATTTCAATAAGGAGTTTTTTTTGTAAACTGATGCTTTAGTTTCTGGTATGGGTGTTATATTAGCTCAGAAAGATGAATGAGATAATGAACATCCAGTATTATATCTCAGTAAGAAGTTAACAGAAACTGAAAAAAAGTACTCCACCACAGAAAGGTAACGTGCCGCCATAATATTCACTCTAAAGAAACTGCAATGTTATTTAGACAGGCATACTAAATTCCTCATCATGATTGATCATAATCCAGTAGTTTGTCTAAAAAATAATGCGAGTCTAAATCTATGACTTATGAGATGGGCACTAGTATTACAACCCTAGAATTACACTGTCGTTCATCAAAGTGGTAAAAACCATAAAAGTGTAGACGCATTAAGTCGTACTCCCTGGCCTGATTAAAGAATTTGTTTCTCTATATAGATAAAAAATTAATTTATTCTTTCCTCTCTTCCTGACTGTTATGTTATATGTCAATTATGTATTGTGTTGATATGGCGTTGTTTAAAAAAAATTGTAAGCTTTAATTTATAAAAATATCAATTAAAGTTTATCTGGAAGGGGGGAGAGTTAACATTGTAATATTTTATAATATTTTATTAGTTAACGTATAATTATATTTATTAGCCTTGATATTGTAGTAATAATGCCATATTTGTATCATGTAACTGTTGCTGAGCTACGTCAGAAAATGTCTAAAATTGTTATTCTGAAAGTTTTACCAGTAGTAGATGTATGAAAAATTTATACAGAAAGAAACTGTAATAATAAGCTGAAGTGTGAAGCTGTAACGGATAAAATTGTATTTAAATTATCTATCTTCATGAATTGAGAATAAAATTTTATGTTTTACTAAGAAGCTCATCGGTTATTTCGATAAAAACCGCAAAATACGTTACACTACAGAAATCAGATTTTAAAATTAAATGATGAGAAAATATACATAAAAAAAAAGCACACTTACTTGGTCACAGTATCTCGCCATTGTTGTAGTTTCAATATCTGACTGACGTCCCAAACCACCAGTTTTAACCACAAGACTGGGATATTTTTCTGCAAAATGTTCTAGTAAATCAGGCAGATATTCAGCAGCATTATGAACAATCCCCATCACATACCTTGCAACACCATATGGCTCTTCTAAGAAGGTTTCCTAGTTCATAAGAAATAAATATTAATTTTTGAACGTTAAGAAATTAATTTTCTAGAAGAAAACATTTATAAAAATGTATAATTCCAGTGGTCAATTAGTATACAAATATGGAATTAAGTTTGGAAAGTTTTTCATACATGTTCTGTAACAGTACTTACATATTAACACAAACATCTTAGTAGAAACTGGCAAATTTTCAAAATGCACCAAACTCTGCTAATCATATGCATAATAATTCTTCAATTTTAACAAGAACTGTTGCCATTTTCATATGCTTTTTTATGCATTTAATTTCCAAGGTCCAATGCTTTTTATAAAAAAATAGTGATATCTAGGTACTGTTCCGTTTTGAGGACCGTAAAAAAATTGCAGCGAAAATGCATGCGTAAAAGCGCCAAATCTAGCGTACACGCTGATTCCAGATTGCATAACTCTGTATAGTTTATATAGTTCTATATTTCTTAAGATGCCATTGAAATACTAGTTTAATTTTTAAATCCTTTTTTGATATATCCTATGGATTTAACAATTTGGGAATTGCCCGTGATGAAAAGTCTGCAATATAATTTTTAGTAAAATGCAGAATCACCCACTGCTTGACGCGACCACTGACATATCGACCTATTTTCACTAAAAAAAAAAAAAAAAAAAAAAAAAAATCCCATAATCGCACAAAAATGGCACTGCGCACACCCTTTACTTTATCTATGTACACATCGACCTACTTTCACTTAAAAAGTAAAAGAAAATTGACAAAAATCCAATTGTTTTTACCCTTGTAAAAAGCGGCAAACAAATAAGTGGGCTCACTTTACCAAGAATTTTTTCATAGAAAAGGCATCATTCATTTTAGAAAATTATGTTTGAACAACCAAAGAGATGAAATTATGCTTTAGTGATAACTCGGTAGCGAAGTAGTGATGCAGGCATCCATTCAGTTATGCTTAGCAATTTTTATATAAATTATAATAATGATCCGAAATAGTTATTTACTCTTATGCTTCCATTCAGTCGTGTTTAGCATTTTTTAATATAAATTATAATAATAAAAAAATTTATACAAAATTAACACTTCATCTAAATTAAAACATCAATCTTAGATAGTTATTTACTATTATACTTCCTTTCTTACGTTAGGGTTGCCGCAAATATTTTTGGCAGCACAGGCATCAACAATAGTTTGGCGATTTTTTACGGCCCTCAAAACCGAATAGTACCAATATTTTTTGTTTTAAACTCAATTTTAAAATATGCATTTCTGAGGTCTGAGAGCAATGGAAGAAATCATGGTAAAGCTTCTGGAAGATTATAATATTTTGCCATCAAATCACGAAAGAACTACTACTTTCAATATATCCTTTGATTATTGCCACAAAATTGCCACCACAATAAAAGAAAGAAAAATCTAAATGACAAATTTACATATTTCCTGCAGCCAATGGAGAGAGGATGATCTACTGAATAATTAAGAGTCCTTTCTCACATGGGTGAAAGTTATAGTAAAGCTTTAAAGGAATTACAAGCACATTATGGTAAAGAAGACCTTCTGACAGATGTAAGTTAGAGATTTACTTTCTTAATTTAGTATGAGGCAAATTTAAATAAGAAGTTTCCTGTGAGAAAAATGTGCAATAGTCTGAATCAAAACGTCATGCATTAGAAATTCTTGATCTAGCAAGAAATAATACCATAATGTTATATCCACTAGTGGAATCATCATTATTTAATAAAACTTCTTTCTGATGGTAAATGTTCAGAGTTCTAAATCAAAAGTGCAGAGAATTTGAAAAAGATGAGGGAGACGATCAAAATGATATAGATTCATTCTATCAGATGGATTTAGATATACTACCTTTACTTTTATTTGATAAAACTGAAGGAGAAGAGTGAGTGCCAACAGCCAGTAAAAGTTTGGGAATAAACCAATCACCTAAAAATTACAACTGATTTTAAAAGTCATAGTAAATATTCACTAATTCTAACGGCATGTTCTTTAATTTCATCTACAAAAGAAAATCCCTGCATATTTTGTTCAGGTTTTCATAAATCGTGCAACTGCTATGACGCTTGGAAAATGGTAGAAGACACACAAAACAGTCAAAAGTTATTTCCTTTGCTAAATCAGGGTCACAAAATAGCTAAATAATAGAAAAAAAAGATAACAGTATTGTTTATGAAAAACAAAATCATCCACACTGGCAATAAACATAACAGTAGTTCTACAACCCCAAAGAAAAGATGAGTGAAATTCTTCATAAAAGATATACTGGCCAATTTTTCAAAGTCACTAAATGTTCTACTCAAATTTTAATGGTTACTCTAAAAGGGCACAATTGCAAATGTCAACATGGGCCACAATAGATTCTGCCTCCCAATGATCATATACTAAAGCACTGTAGCAGAAATGCAGTTTGAAGAAGGTAGTAAAGAAAAACTCTGTTATTCGTTATTTGGTGATGTATAACAGAGCACGATATTTTCACCATATTTATGCCAAAAATTGATTGGAACTATCCTTCCAATTTCAAGTTGTTTGTTACACCATTCTATGGATGCCAACTCCTCTGCCAAGAATAGATAAATCTAACAGCAGTGATGAATGACATTCTGGAATTTCTGAACCAATATCCAACTCACAGACCCTTCTTCCTTTTGCAATATTTAACACTGCGCCTCCAAATCGTTTCGTTGTTAACATAAAGTTTCACATTGTAGCCATTTTCACATAAAAATGAATAATATAAGAACGTGGGGCAAGAGAAAAAAATGCAATATTGTGCTAATATACAATTATGTGGCGAGGTACACGAAACACGCAGCCAGATTTTAGCAAGATACAGTTAATTGGCGATTCCATCTCGGGGGTTGCTATAATAAAGAAGTATCAGCTTTTGTTCATGCTAAAACTAAAAATGCAGTTCAAGTTCACTTGTTACATGTTAAAAGCGACAGCAGCTCCATATGAAAAGTAGGAGACTATAATAATATAGAACTACTTCAAGCTACCTTTTAACATGTCTTACCACAAATATTTTGAAAGAATTCACGCATTGAAAAGTTTATTTCTGGACTGATTCATTTATCATACTATCCTGGATATAGTGCGATGAAGTATGAGATGTATAGTTAACTTCTAAAGAATTTTGGAGATATGTTTGAGCTGACATGTCCAGCAAAAATAAGTAAATTCTGACAAATGAACTGAATGATGATTTATGTCATCATTCTTTTTCATTGGTAAAAACTGCCAATTGTGCCAGAATAGTGGCGTTCATACATACATACCTATAATTTTAAGGTTAAATAAAATGCTATCATATTATTTTAAAATCAAAACACTTTAAAGGTTCACAATAATTACAGCAACTGATGAGAATTTTAATGATTACAATATCGCAGTTTCTTTTAAAAGTAAAATGTAGAGCCATCTACATACTGAACTCTTGATTACCTATGCATTACTCAGGAAAGTACTTGAAGAAAATTTAACATGCGAATTTTTAAGTTTGCTATTTTGATGCCATGAATGCCACTACTAAAGCCTCAAAAGAAAATATTTAATAAAATACTCATGGCTAGAGAAACTAATCCTTGATATTATAAAGTAAGAAGGTTCTACTGATCATACAAATGCAGTGAGATTTGTTGAAGTTATTTCTGAATTCAATAACTCAAAAATTTTTTAGAAATGAAAGAAGTGCAAAGAGTAAACAATGTTGATGAAGGTGACAGTAAGCATGGCCACATTCCAGTAATAAAATAACTAGCCTACGTGAGTAATTAACTCAGTTTATATTAAATGATGTAAAAATTCGGCATAAGTCACAATGGCTTAAAAAAATGTTAACACAATTCTTATAACATGTACATATTAGAGACTTCTATCGTAGGGGGTGAACATCTATGCATAGTTCAAGAACAAAAGGCACCAACCACAAGCCCAAACATGCAAGTGCTACTGAGACAAATACTTGCAAAATAGGACAGATACATTAATTCACATAAGGCAAAGATTTTTTTAAGTTTCCATGCTACTACTTACCAGTGCAGTAACCTAGCTAACAAACTTGCTGGACAACTTAAAGTCTTGATGGAATGGTAGTCCAAGTTGTGCCAAATAACAAAGAGTATTACATAACATGTATTTGTTTAAATCCTCTAAAGTGCGTGTGCATGTATATATATACAGAATATTTATATTTGAATACATTACAATACGATATTTGAATATATATATATATATATATATATATATTTAAATTTGAATATAAATGTGAATTTAAAAATGGAATTCAAACTCTCCATGTGATGTACAATCAATATTTCTACGTTTCTGTATCTCAGTGTTCATACATCAGCACTTCTAAATTTTTTTTATTATATAAATATATATATACAGTCAAAAGTCGTTAATTCGGACACCCATAATCCGGAATGATCTATAATCCGGACCTCAAAGCTACAAACTTTCTGCGCATGCGTCGCGTTCACGCATGCGCACAGGCGTTTACGAGAGCGCATAAGACCCTTACAGCTGCGAATATGTTTGTGCGCATGCGCGATACGCTAAGCTAAAGTTATCTAATTCAGTTAATGTTGCAGATTGCGTTGTTCCTTAATCTTCGAATTGGATCCGGCTTATTATTTTTTGCAGACTGTTAGAGCAATTTTATAAAAGTAAGCTTGAACTTTCGATTATGTCAAACAGAATTTACGATATATATTTACTACAAAGCGAAAGTATGTTTTTAAATCCGAAATCTGTTTATCAATTTCACGCTGCTCTGCGGCAGGGGGGGGGGCAGAAACGTCATTATTAGATTATGATAGATTAGAAAGATTATGTCAAATAGAATTTCCGATATATTTTCTAATATGTAATTTGTATCTACAAAGCGAAAGTATGTTTTGAAATCCGAAATCTGTTTATCAATTTCACGCTGGGGATTGGAAGTTGATCTGTCAGCACTATCCTTATCTTCAGAGCAGATGTTTTTATT